AAAAATACATTTGACAGCAAAAAGCTGTTAATTTATTGAACATGTTAGATCTTATTTAATCCATATACAGATATGGATGGGAATGGAGAACCAGCTCCAGTTGAGAAATCCAAATTGTCTGATCAAAAAATAATAATTACACAATGTGTTCGGACCATCGACAAATATAAAAATGGATGACATGGACAGCTCTCCAAGTGAACCAAAACATATAGATCAGCCCACTCCTGTGGCTGACTGGCAGTAAAGCTCATAAACTCCCTCTATGTAACAAGTCAGGGCAAAACAAAAAACAAAAAATATTAATTTGATTAAAATGTTATATAATATATAATAAATAAATGAAACTTCTCTAGCACGTGAATGTGAATGATTTAAATAGAAATCAGACGGTGGTATGTATAATGTTAGTCTCTGATGTGTATATGGAAGTTTTGATTCAGAGAACCATATGACAAAGGCCGTATTCCTATATCGTAATACACTCAATAGACAACTATTTAAAGAAAAGATATATATATCCCGATTCAGAAACCTTTAAACTGCAGTAAATAATGTCAATCAATTTAATTAATCCTCTTTTCACTCCTAGTCAGATTCTCAGCCTCCGTCATGTTGATGTTATTTCCTGGTGCTTATTATCCGTCGTAATAGTAAGGTCAACCTGTTTAGTTCCTTCGCAGAAAAATAAAAAAAATAATTAGTAAGTAATGACTGTCTTATACGTACCGCCATTTCTAGAGTCTCACAGCATAACCCAAACACCTCCAACCGCTGTAATCATGCACCATTCCACCCTTATTCATACAGAAATTTAATTTTTGATTTGTACTGATAAATTATCTATCCATCTATCTATCTAGATATCATACGTGATGGCGAGGGGCCGGCACAACCCACAGATAACATTTGTCACATTCTCACCACAATTCGACAGCATCAGATTAGGTTGTTGGTGTTCAGGTATTTTTTGCTCAAAGGATACTTCAATTGCAGCGGGAGGGAGCCGGGATCGACACGCAACTACTGATTAGGGACCTGCTTACCCTCCTGCCTACAGCCACCGTGTGATCACTCCTGCCTTAGCAGGGCGCGGCGTGTGTTTTCCCTTGCTCTGTCCATGGGCGTGGTTTAATCAGTGCCTCCAAGGAGCTCTTAAGATCCAGCCATCTCTCACTGACTCTTCATTCTCCGGCCCATGGTTCCATTGGTTGCTTTGGTCTGGTTAATTAGTTTCTTGCAGCTTACGACATTGATTTTACACTAAACAAAACATAGCTATGAATATATTCCATTCTTGACAAATAGATTTCCTCAATGTTACACCTGCCGACTTCAAACACTCATCGATAATTATTAACAGCAGCAGCCATTGTACTGTATATTAGCAATAGTTTCTCTATGCTGGCATGACTTGCAGTAAATGAGTTGATTTGACACGTTTTGCTGAAACACACTTTGTGTTCATTCTAATGGTTCATTCAGTATCTCACTGTGAAACACACACTGGAGCGTGCTGAGCACCAGATCAGGGACAAACAAATGCAAAGCCCATTCCACACAGCGTCAAGCTCTACACCACATCAGCTTCAATGATCACCTTGGCCTCTGAGTAGAAAAGTCAAAGATGGACAGAAAAATGGAGGACAATCCGTGTACTTGCATAACGTTCACATTTATTTGGTTTCAAGTCCTAACACATTCTAAACATGCTTTTAACACGTAATGGATCACATTCTTCACAGGTAGTTAAAGTAACAAGAGCAGACAAGAGATTTTGGAAGAGAAAAACAAAAAGGCGTTTCAATTGTCTGTTCACAGGTGATGACAGTGTGTAAATCTATTTCGGCCCTGAGATATGTCGAGATTTTTCGACTGTTTCAATTCCCCCGCTTTTCCCATCTTGTGCTCCTGTACAACAGGGTTCTGACAGTGGGGAGGGAGTCTCCGTGCATCAGCCAACTTAAAGCTCAAACTGATGATGTGGAAAGATGAGATCTGGAGCTTAAAGCTGAAACAGTAGTTGCTGCATCTTATTAAAAGTTCTCACTATGACCCTGTACTCCAGATCTCATCCTACCCCAGGTCGAACAGTGTTACTGTGCTATTGTTGGAAACAAATGTTGGATTGCCTGAAGTCTCTAAAAGGGAAAATGTGTCTTTTTATAACTTGGATGTTTTTTTATTTATTCGTACTGGCTGTTATGACATTTTCTAGATTTTATTTGAAATGATTGATATCTAGGCAAGTGGTGCCACATGTGGATTGCAAGAGAAGTAACATTATGGAGTTATTTTAGTGCTGGCACAAATTGAAACTGAATTTAATAGTTTTGAAGTTGTTAGTCTATTTTGAGAAACGGAAGTTCCACTTAAAAAAAAATACCCACAAGTTGAAATCAATAAGAGTTAAATTCAATTCAAACCATGAGATTCAGTTTGAGGTTCTGATATATGGTTTTAAATTACGCTACAATACAAATTCAAACAGTCCAACCCCCAGATAACACTGCTGTCTGTCTGTCTGTCTGTCTGCTGTCTGTCCCGTCTGTCCTGTTGTCTGTCCTGTCCCTGTCTGTCTGTCTGTCTGTCTGTCTGTCTGTACCTGTCTGTCTGCTGCTGTCTGTGGTCGCGTGCCACAGCGTCAGGGTCACACAAGTGAAAGAGAATGTGTAAACACAAGATGTCAGTTTGACCACGGTTATGTTCGCCGATTTATAATCGATTGCGAGCTACATTGACAGAGTCAGATATGATAGCAGCCCCATTGTTAGCACTCCGTGTTACCTTGAACTGCCTCACCAATGAACAACCACAGAACACAATGAAAAAAACAAAACATAACACACTGGCATATCATGATGCGGCGAGTATAGTGTACACAGCAAGCAGCCATTCACAAGATAACAAGATGTATTCCAAAAAGGTCAACACAGGAAAATAAAGCACTGGTTAACTGCAGCAAGAACGCATCACGTGAACACTAATCAGCACGCTGACATTGTCATATTGACATTCTTTCATCTTTGGTATTGGATTCACGATAACAGGATAGAAGTGAAATGAAAGATGACACTAATCAAACGTGAAACTGAGAAAAGAAGGAAGAGGATCCCTGAAAGATTAAGAGTGTCTAATGTGTAACATGCTTCACAGCCAGAGGTCAGAGAGAATAAAGCGGCCGACAGCAGGCGAGCCTGAGGTAGAGAGGATTTTGAGGCAACAAGTTTTTGTTTTTTTTTTTAAAAAGAAGAGGAAGAAAACAGGTATCATAAATCTGAGAGGTCACTGAGTGAAATAAGAGACACAAAATAACAGGACATTGGTGCAATGAAACCAATAAATAAGACAAAAAAAATCAACTATTTGAAAGTAAGCAACATGATGACAAATAAAGAGGTAGTTTCAGTACAGAAATCGCAAATGACATATCCCTTGTCTGCAACAAAAGTACAAATACGGGAAATAAAAAGAACACTTTCTTCAGCACGTGTGATGATAAGTCAGAACGGTGGCAGTAAGGTAGCCGAGGGGAGGGTTTGATTCAGAGCCAATGAGCAGAGGCCGGTATTCATATCGTTCACTGCAACATTAAAGGAAAAAATCCCCGTCAGATCCTTTCACACTGTCAGATCTCAGCCGTCTGTGATGTTCTGTGCTTTCCTGGAGTTACTCTGAGAGGAAGTGACTTTGTTGTCGGCCACCCTGAACTTTTCTTCTGCTTCGGCTGCAGTTAGAAGACAGTTCATGTTCAGAAAGGTGGGACTGTTAAACAGCGCAAAGTGGCAGCTCTAGAGAAAAGCCCTTGCGTATATACATTTAGATATATATATATATTTTGCTTAGACAAATCTGCAATGAAACTCAGCTGTTTCTCAGCAGTGGTAAAGGATTTAAGGGTTTTTTTTTTTCTTTTAATGGTGCATCACATCACTCAGACTTTTGTTACATAAAAGTAGATATCCCTGAGATTATGTAGTTTAAAAGGTCAGTTCACCAAAAATGACACAAAAAACCCCAAAACAATTATGATTTTATATGCTTAGATTACCTTAAACCCTGGTTGGATCAAACCAAAACTATGTGAACGGCTACACAGCACTAGAGGTAAGTGAGCATATGTAGTACGTCTTTTTATTTTAGGTGAAATTACCCTTTAACCTCAGAAGGCTGCGTAATGAATGATGCACGTTTCACGAAATGGAGAGACACGATGTTCTCCACACTCACTGTAGCTGCTAGAAAATGAGTGTAATTTCTTTCAAGTTTGGAACCACAGATGACTCCAAAACATCACATTTGCATTGTAAAATGATTCAAATAACACATAGAAGGCTCCAATATGTCAGTATTGTCCATATAAAACGTGGCTGACATCGCCTGAGTAATACTTTTGTTTTTCATAAACCACTGTGGACAAGAGAAAGAGTTATTAAAAATCATGTCCAAAAAAAAAAAAGAAAGTCAACAATTCATTCAAAGTTTATAAAATGATAGGGGTTGTCTTCACTCCCAAAAAGAAAAAGAAAAAAAAAAAAAAAGACAACAGTAACCCAAAACTTTTACAATAACTACAAAGGTACATGAAAATGTATAAAAATCAAAAGATGAAAAGAGGCTAACTGAAACATTGGGAAAGAGGAACACTGCATTGAACTGGTGGTGCTGTTAAGGCTGCACACAGAGAGGTGGATGGGAGCAGGAGAGAGAAGCTTTGACATTCTGAAGATGCCTCTCGCTCTGTCCATCACCAATGCCAAGAGCAAAATTCACCCTGCGTGTCTCACCTTCAAACTATATCAACTTTCACTGAATGGGGAGGGCCTTGAGGGAAATAAAGTGGAAAAGAAAAACAAAACACTTTTCTACAGAGGACCTACGATGTCCTGGAACCTACGTCTACTAATACTACAAGTACATCAGCATGGTCACTGAGGAACTTCTGAATGCAATACATAACACTCACTTTACCCTGTTTAGATCCAGGTCGGCAGGGACCTGAGAGAGAGAGGAACACACTGGGTGGGCAGTGGCCGAGGTCAAGGTCTCCGAACCTCACCGTCGTGTGCAAAAAAGAGAGTCGTTGCGAGGACTGCATTTTGTCTGCATTTCAAATTGTTCGTACGTCGTGAAATGGCTAAAAACTTGAGGGATCCAAGAAGACACTTCAAGCGGTTTGATCTCATACTTCAAAAATAAAGACCATTTCCTATGGCATTTTTTTTAAACAATGTGCATATCTGTCACAGAGGGTATGTAAGCTGGTGGTAAGTCACCTAAATTCTCTAAACCTAGCCTGGATTTATCAAGACAAGGGCCGGACCAGTCATACGAATCCACTGCTAGCCAGGTTTAAGTGTTAATCTGCAAATTTTGGGTCAGCCAGTTAATTAAAAAAAAAAAAAATCTTTTTTTGGTCCTTGGGCCAACCATACCCAGTAAAACCATGAGGACTACACCTGAACCAAGTCTCAGGTCAACACTTTCTAGTGCCCCGTGGATCTGGATTAGGTCCGATTTAAACTGTTACTGGTCTTGGGTCTGTGCAAAACTTTGATTGGACCTGACAAGACCTGAAAACAGTCTAAGTTCCTCTAAAACTGACCTAAAACTGCCCAATGGAACTTTCGAATGGACCGACCCCATTTGGAACCTCAGTCAACTTCCTTCCTATACTGAGATATGCTATGTGCTAGGCTAATCTATGTTGAAAAGACGAGCACATTTTGTAATTATGAATATGGTTAAAAGATAAAAGTGACATATGTGCAGTCACATCTTAAGTTAGTTAGCTAATGTTAGCAGAAAACTAATTAGCTAGTCAGTCAAGCCAGTTGGCTAACATTTAGCTAACAATAGCTATATGTCCCTTTTATCTTTGAACAATCTTCAAATGTATTTTCAACATAGATTAGCCTAGCACATAGCATATTTAAGTACAGGAAAGGAGAAAGTCGACCGAGGCGCTAACCGAGGCTTGCTCAACTGTTATTAGAGCACAGAGGACTTTTCATTTTGCTGGATAAGCTAACAGAAGCTAGTGCTCCACACCAGCTTTAAATGAACTGAAGGCCACAAACACTGAGCAAACTTTTTATCGACTCAGGTTCATTCAGCTCTTGTCCAGACTTGGATACAGTTGTTGTCTGTTCCATGTTGGTTCTAGCAATTTCCTTATATTTTTTTGACCCATAAAGATATATTACTAACCAAGATTTCACGGACTACCCCTTTAACCAAAGATAGCTAATACCGTGGACCTTAAATGTAGGTGATGGTGTGCTGAGAGCAATGCACGTATGCAAGTTCCTGGCACTAAAGGCAGCAGAGCCCAAAAAACGAGCCATCTGACGAGAAGCAGAGGGAAAAACAAAAACTGGGAATACATCTGCTCTGTGAATACGTGTGTGCACAGGAACGTGCGCACGTTTAGCAGCATTTAGAATGAAATCCAGCAACATACTCGTCTGTCTAGCAGAGGGTTCTCCCCTCTGACACAGATTGATTCATTTTCTTATCCTGATCCTTCATTGATAAGAAACAGTTTTTTTTTCTAGCGGAGCTATCAGCTTCCGACCCATCAATGGGTGTTTGAAAAAAGCATTGCATAACACTTTGGTCAAAAAAGAAAAACAATAAAACTAAAAACAGCAAACCTAGCTATCCTCCCCTTCCCCTGCAATAAAGCCTTACATCCCCAGTCTATGATTGTAAAAAATACCCGTATGCTCCTTTTTCAATGAAGATCCCAAAGATCCAACAACTGCCACCTTAACTCATGGAATGTTAAATTGACAAGACCGCCTCCCATAAGTGGGAGTCCATGAAGATAACGTAGCTCAATTTTGCTATTTAAATTTTGCATTTTCAGTGTAATAAAACACTGATTTTTTCTTTGATTTATGCAGCTCCTTTGAACGTTCAGTTTCTGATTGAGGCGCCAAAGCATCCACAGGGATTTGGTTTTAGACTGGGCAACTCTTCATTTAACAGCAAGAAAAGGTACCTAAAAATAGCAACAACATCTTCCTGAGGTAGTCTTGAAACACTCGTCATGTGTCTGTCCGCCCCCGTCTGAATAAAATAAACTCTATTAAGGTCTAGCTCTAACAATAGCAACACTGACACATTGAGCAAACTGGATACACACTTGTAAACTCCAAAGACCAATGCATCTACGAGCATTTGTTTTGTACAGAAGCATGTGCACAGTGTAAATCAGCATACATTCAGCTCTGTCATGTAATAAATATATAAAGAAAAAAAGTTACAAAAAAACAAACTAGCTGCTTGTCACATTCACAAGAGGGGAGACCAGTCCCTCGACTCAGGGGTGGGTGCGGTCGGGTGCTAGTTTCCGGAAGAGGTGGTCACACAGGGCGACGGGCCGGTCCTGTAGCTGGTCAGGCTGGATTTGCAGGAGTGCAAGACTGCTTTGAACAAGAGGGGGAGCTGCTCCAGAGGGACATTCACCAGCTTCCCTGCAAACAAACACAACATGCAGCCCTTTAGCTTAGCGTCTCTTTAATGGACATCTTGTATTAAACTCATTCCTCTTTCAGATTGTCTTTAACAAAAAATACCGTTTTCATTTTTTCATTTGTTTCTACTTTGCTGTTTTTTACTAAGATGCTGTCAATGAAACTCAACACTTGCAGCTATTTCAAACAAACAAAAAATTTAAAACCAAGCTAACTAAAACTAAAAATGTACTGAATGAATTTGTAACGGTGGAATTGTGGTGTTTGAATAAACAGCAATCATCATGCACAGCAGTTTAAAATGGGCACAGATGAGAAATTAGGCTTCTTCCTAAAGTGTGTTAAGATATACTGACGAAACAAACGGTAAGAGTCTCATACCCAAGGTTCAACATTAATATTTGTTTTTCACTTTTCCTAACAGGTAAGGCTCCAAATTCTACTTCCTTGTCTCTATACACATTACCGTGCCTTTGACCATCAACCACAAAAAAAAAAAGTAATTCTTTTTTACCAAGCGAGTTGCTACAGTTACTAGCCTGACGTGGCATTTAACTTGTCCCAGGCAAGTAGTCAATTCTTATTGTTGAGCCCTGCTTGTTGTTTGTCTTTAGATTAGAGATGCAATTGAATTTAATTAAATTTGATTTATAATCTAAAATACAGCAGTAGTATTCATTACACCATACAACATAAATGTGATGGAATTTTACAAAAATACCGTCCATTAAACCATTTAGTTATCCGAAGCCTTACCTGCAATGCAGCGGATCTCTGGGAGACACATCATGATCTCAGGGAAGCGTTTGGGCTGGTGCGGGTACTTGTATTCAGTGTAGTCCTGACACACATACCAGTAGCGCTTGTTCAGCTGCTCGAGCTGGGAGATGTTGGACAGCCCTCTGATATCTGCAGAAATACAAAAGAAAGGAGAGAGTCGTGTGAAGAATACAGCAAGGGCCGGGGAAAGTTCAGACTCGGCGGCAGAGCTTGTGTCATTACCTTGGTTGAGGAAGTTGATGGCTTTCATACAGGCGTACTCCTCGTTACTGATCTTCAACTGGTGAAACTTGCGAAACAGATATATCAACCTCTCCATCACCTCCATGCCATCCTCGCTGAAGCTAAGGGATCAGACACAGACACACAGACTTGTCAATGATGGAAAATATATATATATATAAAAAATAATGTAATAATTTGCACCATTTGAAGCTATATTCTCCAAACAAATAGATAGACTAAGTTTCAGTGGGCTTACTGTCCACATGTTCCCATTAAAATCCACTGTGATAAAATAAAAAAAGCACAAAAATACAAAATCCCTCAAGCCCTATTATCTTAAGCTTTTATGCTTCAATGAACAAGGCATAAATTAGGGAGGGAATATGTCAGATCTACTGAAAGTGCTTAACAAACGTCTTGCTGATCCCATAGGTTTTCCAAAGAAAGATTCACAAAGTTTAATTCGGCTCATCAAACCTCAACTCCCCATCTCTCCAGCTCTCACAGCTTCAATCTCTCTCACACACTTTAGCAGTGCCACTGTAAATCACATATTCACTCCTAAACTACAGGCAAATTGACCAAAGCAGCAGAACGGCACAGTATATTAGGAGAATGTGTGTCATTAGGTCAGATAATTCTGCTCTGATTTACACAGAGCTGAACCCACCCCCCCGCACATATCCTTTTCTGTCGGGTGTTGGACATTTGTGTATTTTACATGCCAGACGGTGCTAGCCACAGCTCCGTCCTGAGGAGTCCTCCCGTTCATGGACCACTACCCTGGCCCTCATCCAACAACAATACTTGCCCTGCTGTCATAGGGAAACATATCAAACCCTTGTGGAGATACTGAGCTCAGAGAGTGGAACGTCTCGCCTTTGTAGAGGACTGTTGTTGCAGTGGGGAACACTTCATTCCTGATACACACCTTTCCTCTCTGTGAAATATTGAATTGGCAACGCTCCCGGAGGCGAAATCTAACATTAAATATATTTTGTGTGTTAATGGTGCGATAGCCTCCATAAAAGAGAGGTGGGAGGCAATATGAGTCACTGTAGGTGAGATATTACTCACACATATGAATGAGGGTAATTTCATCAGTCATTATGTAAATACAGAGGTCAAACATAAGTATGTTGCTAGCTACCTTATTGTTGTGCTAAAGTGTGTTATTAAATGTACCAACTGTAGAGTCATACTCTACCTGTGTTCTTTGTTTGATGGTTAAAACCTAATTGTGGAGGTTGGGACTTTGGATACGGTGGTTAGAGTTGCTACACAGTTTTTCTAGCCTAAATGATTTTAATGTCATATCTAAAGGATAAATCCAGCTTATTTTTCATCGTTTTGGTCATCATTCCTATCCAAAACTAAAACTAAAGTTGCACTGAACTTGGGCAATAAACAACTGACAGCTGCTCTAAACAGAGCTCTCTGACCCCTCTTTCCTCTCCGAGGCCATGCCACTCACCCCTGCAGCTCATCGTCCGACGGCGTGTACTTTGCGGTGACGTTGGCCAGGTCTCCGAAGATCTGGGCACTGTATATGGTGAGGCAGGAGAGCAGGATGAGCTCCTGCCAGGTGGAGCTGAGCAGGCAGGTGTAGTCCTCTATGGAAAGCTCACAGAAGAACGGCAGCTTCTTGATCCAGGAGATCTGGCGGAAGAGCAGCTCGTCTGCCAGGCGACACAGCAGAGCAAAGAGCTCCACCTGTGTCACTTTGTACCTGGGGGACACAATTAGACAAAGGATTAGGGATGTATGACCAAAAAAAGCCACCAGTGCCCATCCACTGCACGTGATAATGGACTTAACAGTGAAGGTAGGAGACATCTTGTGTCCAGCAGAC